AAAGTAGAAGGTGCTGTCACAAGAGCGAGGAGGCCAGAGGAAGGGTCATCATTGTAGGAGCTGGGACCACCAAAGGGTGCACTAAAGGTGGTGAGAAGACCTTTGACGGGGTTCCTGGGGCTTGTTCTGGGTCTGTCATGAGGGAGTATCCAAGTTGTTCACAGTCCTGGAAGAGAAGACCCCTTCTCTCTAGCTCACTTGTGATTTCCCACCAGCAATTCCTTTTGGCAGCACCTAAGGGAAGCCAGCTGTGAAGAGAAGCTGGCAAATGGAGTCTGCAGTGCCACAGAGCAGAATTTAGGATGGTTGGCTTGAGGCTGAAAGAACTTGGTAAATAACTCATGGTACCTTATTTGTCCATCGGTCACTTATGCAGAAGACTTTCTGATCTGCTCTTTGTGTCTTCTTGAACAAGGAGAAATAAAAATGGAGTCTCTGGACAGAGACTCACAATCTCAGCCAAGCAGCCTACATAGTATTCTGAATTAAGTGAACATTTTGGCTCAAAACCACCTGTCAATACTCTAAGAAGGTAGACACTTGTGCAAGGGGAACCTGCCAGCAAGGGTCTTAGAGTGTACCAGTCAGGTTGAACAGGGGACATTAGTAGTTTATTTCTTCCTAGCATGAAAGCTCCTATTTGCTCCTTGAGAGATAGCCAGCATCTGGACACAAGCCCTGGAGAAGGCATCAATGGGAAACATGATTTTGCTAGAGAAGTGTTGGCACTTAAAAAGAGGACCCAATTAAGCAAGATGTTTCCCATTTCCATTTCTTCTTCTACCTTGCCACTCCCTTTTCCTGAAGAGGAAAGGAGTGATGATGAAGACTATTCCCACTCCTAACTCCAAGTTCCACCCAGCTGAGTTGAAGAAAGGGAAGGAGTTATAGGATTGGCATTATGAACTCCATCGAAACTGTTATGAAGGAAGAAGAAAGAGGTTTTACATTGCAGATGGAATGCACTCGTTGGAGAAAAATTAAACCAGTTTATTCATATCTGTGTTCTATCAAGTTCAGAATGTTCCATAAATAAATTAATAAACAACAAAATGAGACTTTATTATGCATCATCTCCAGAATAAAGAACTGTCTTTCAACCAGAAAAACAGTACCATTCCTAATAACTTCAAATTAACAATTTTACTTTCCTCACTTCTGCATGGGTTGGTTTCACATGTAAGTATAACTTAGGAGTTTTAAATGACTCTTATTATTCTCTGAAATTCTTATGAGCCAGGGATCACTCGTACCTGTAACCTGTTGAAGGTTAAATTCACATCATTTCTATAGTAGCCAGAGGTCTTTCCTTCATTTTAGACTTTTAATGAGGTGCAATGATATAAAGAGTATAACTGTCAATGAGTGTAACAGAATGCTATGAAGGGTGGATAGGAGTTTGAATAAGAGCATCTTTTAAGTGCTAAAATATAAAGCCACAGGAAAATCTGTTGAAAATATGTGAGACATGGAACTTAGAGTCATCACTCTTACTCATCACTTTAGAAATCCTTAGAAACACTTTGTTTTAGTGAAGCATATGGTGTTCTATTTATTGGAAAGTAAATTTAATGCTGGAAGAATAATCTCAAATTTAGAGACTCTAACCTCTTATTTATATTTATCTTGAATTTCAGGCATTTTAAAACTTCAGTAGCTTTTTACATCACTTCCTTTTTGTTCTTACATTATTAGAGAGCATGGTTTTAAAAACAGACCAACTTAACTTCTATTTCTAACATCAAAACAAGTTAAAAAAAGTAGAAACTTATTTACTTATACCTTGAAAAGTTTTTCATAAGACCCAATCACTTATAGGCTGCTGATGCATTAAAGATCTATAACTAGAATTTTTTGGCCATAACCAGTGGACTGCCCAACTTTGGTCATGTTTCATTGCTACTCCAAGACTTGATTTCCTTGCTTGTCATGATAATTATACCAGCTTCGTTTGGTTGGTTGCTCTTATGAGATCGTTAAAATCATGCATGTAAAGTGCTAAACTGAAAAAAAAGAAAATCCTCAATTTATGTTAGCCAATTTATGAAAGGCAGTAGTCACAAACAATCAGGAATAATACAGCATGTATATTCCACATTCTCATATTTCTCAGAATCCATGAGCAGAATCAAAATTTCCACCCAGGATTGATGACATAAACTATATCTGCCTCAAAGCAAATTGAGATATTACCTGTTGACCTTTTTTTTTTTTAAGTACTAAAACCATTTTAGAACTCTGACTAGATTTTACTCATTTATTCTTCAAACAATTTTTATGGAGACCTTTGTTATTGTCAGTTACTGTACTAAGGCACTGAGGGGGAATATTTTTAAATTGTCCTCTGACTTTGTAAAGTTTTCAGAGCAAGTCTATATCAATCAGGACCCTAGTAGGGAATGGATTGTACTCCCAAAGACAGGGAAAAGTTAGTGGAGGTAGTACTGAGAAAACCTATGGGCAGGGTTGAGGATAACCAAACGCACGATGAACCAGCTGGAAGGTAGCAATAGTAGAAGCTGCTGCCAGTTACAGGCCTACAGAGGGATTCCTGCAGGAGCTGGGTCCTACAGTAAGAGCTTGGTGGCCACTAGGGGAGGCTAAAAAGATCATGGACACAATCCCTGAGAATCAACCTCCCAGGCACAGAGCAGATGGAGAGGGGCGTGGAACTGTAGGGGAGATGAGGAATATCCAGGAAATAATCCATCTTTCTTGCTTTCTTTGGTCTTGTCTTATATAACAGATGTTGCCTTTTTTTTTCTGAACATAAAAATACTATATTTTTATTGTAGAACATTTGGAAAACTGCACTGTAACTTGCAATCCTTCTTTTCCCTAGCCAGGACATGTTCCTGGTTGAAGGCACATGAATTTATCCAGTAAGTTCTCACATTAAAAAAAAAATCCATAAAATATAAAATTTATTTCTGTGGCTAAGACCTCAAAGAATATTCTTGACAATAAGATGTACTGATATTCCCCTGGAACATTTTGTTTTCCTGCTTGCCTGTGCTTACTTACCATGGTGTCTTCTTCTATGCATTATTACACTCTTGGCATATTAAATTCCTTCCTATATTTTTGAATACTAGATTGTTCTACATTATCTCCACTAAACACATTCTACTCATTATTTTTTTAAAATATTTATTTTTTAGTTGTAGTTGGACACCATACCTTTATTTCACCTATTTATTTTTATGTGGTGCTGAGGATCGAATCCAGGGTCTCACACGTGCGAGGCGAGCGCTCTACCGCTGAGCCACAACCCCAGCCCCATTCTACTCATTATTTAATAACAAAAAGAAAATCTCCTTCAACCTTTATGTAATTTTCATTGTTATCATCAATAGTTTTTTCTATGCCTCATTGTGTCTGTATAGTTCTAGATCCTGCATGTAGAACTAAAATTGAATCTTATTTGTTTTATTTTTTTAGCTTAGCAGCATAACTCCTGCCCCTGGCTTTAGGTAAGCCCTTAAGAGGCCCTTGAGATTGAATAAAACTCAATGATAAAATATCTGCTACTTGTCTACTTCTGTGAGGTTTTAAGCAACCTGAGAGGAAAAGCTTTAAAATTCTGCCTGCTACTATTTGGTCAGCTTTAAAAGAGCACAGCATTTGTGATGGTCCCCTGATGTATGTGGAGGAGATTCCTTTCCTTGACGCCTGGGATCAAACACCTGAAGAGACTAGATTTTACTCATTTATTCTCTATCCCTTGCACACTCACAAAAGCAATGGCACCTCCCCACCCCACACTCTTTTGTCAGTTTCACTGCCAATTCCTGCATAATATAGTCAAATTATGTGTTAGAAATTCAACCCTGGTTTCCTGGGTGATGGTACAATACGACTACTTAGTATTCCTAGTCACACAGCTATGATTCCATCATGCTCCTAATCTATATATATCTTCATGTTAGGGAAGCAGACTTTTCCAATCAGGCACATACGAAGAATTTGAACATACCGAGTAAGAAATACATAGGAGTTCCCGAGCTCAGCAACAGTACAGGACATTTTTGATACCAAGATCTTGTGAAACCAAACCACCATATGGACGAATACTTCCTGGACTTGATAATTTTTATAGTACATCCATTTCCAGTTAAATTTTGCAAACTCAGATTTCTTTGTGTTCTGTTGTCATTGGTTATAGGACTAGACTTTAAATTTGGCCTGTTTAGCCTGAGTCCTCAGAAACCCAAGGCAAGTTTTTATTCTGAAGCTGGCAAAATCAGGGTGAAACGTTAAATTTGGGTAATGTTATTGTGGTTCTCTGTTTGTTCTGGTGATCTGCCCAAAACAAATGCCAGGAACTTCAAGATCTCTACCTCAAAAGTGCCCGATTGACGATTTAAACCAGGAGATTCAGGCTCTTTGTAAAGATTGGTTGCTAAAGTTATCTGTGATGAATACTTTCTGTGTATTTACACACGTGACAGGTTTAAACCAGTAATCAAACTCGAGATTGTTATTTTTCTCTCATGTACATCTGTATTGCTGAATTTTTTTTCTTTCCTTTTTTCTTTAGACAGTGTCAAGGAATCCCATTCTTTAAATTCTAAATCTGACATGTTTTATCTGTGTTACTTCAGCCAAATAATCTTTCTGACCCTCTGTTGTCTCATTTCAAAAAAATGAAAAGAATCTTGCAGATGTCTTGTGAATCAAATGAGATAATTTATGAGAAGGTACTTTGTAAACTACAAAACTTCACATCAAATGCATATTATCTACATATTGTTCATGATCATCGATCATTTGGGAGCCTAATACTTATCTCCTCTTCTCTTTTCACAAATGTCTTGGATTTTAGTAGTTTTTTTAATCTTACTCAGCATGTCGTACTTAATTGGCTTGGTAAATTGTGATATTCCTTTCTTCCTCATGCACATCATACACATTCAAGTGTCAGTTTAGAGAATATGTCACCTATTTTGTTTGACTAAGGATAAAGAGCTGTACTTTTTGTGTGTGTTTTTCTCCTATAGGTCATAACAGTTATCAGCCAAGCTGCACCAAACAGCAGACATCCTAAGAGGGAACATTTCCCAGCTCTATAATGAAGAAAAGCAGGAGTGTGATGACGGTGACGGCGGATGATGTAAGTAGCAGAGGGTGTAGCTGTCGCACGCCTCCCACACTTGGTCTGTTCAGTGAAGAAATCACTCTATAATTCCATTCAAAGGCAGACAAGAGTGTTCAGCATCACCATTCTGTGACCAGAGGTTTTGATGAAGTGGGCAATGCCAGCACTGGACCCAGCATTCTAAGAGGTGGACAGCAGGAACCATTCCTTCTCTGCAGTTTGCAGATGGGCTGTTTCAGCTTTGGGTTTTCACTGCACAGTCACCAACCACTGATCTATGTTCACATCCTAACCCCTGGTTAATTCCTCTTTCCAGCTTCTTGTGTTATCCATTTTTCAAGGACTTTCTTCCATACTGGTAACCATGGACCGCTAACCCTTAAAAGTCACTCCCTGTGGTAGGGTCTTTGGCACCTACTCCTAAGAAGTTTGTGATACACACATCTTCTAGGCTTTTGCTGTGAATGACCTTAGACCAGTAGCTTTAGCCTCACCTGGGTGTTCACTGGAAATGCAGATTCTCAGCCCCTACCTCAGATCTACCAACCAATTGGTGTTCTTGACAGGATCCCAGTGTGAGTGGGCATGTACATCATGTTTGAGAAGCTCTAATCTGAGTCATTTGAAGATGCCCATAAACTCGCCATCCTCATGATTTTGGATTTGGGTCAGTTGAGGTTAATTATTTCCTTGCTTTCAACAGACAAGTCGATCCAACATTAGTGTATCTTTAATCATCTATTTTTTACCTAGTTATTCTTTGAGATAAAAATTAAATGCCAATTAATCAGATGTGCACAAGAAAAGAAGGTAGGGAAGGAAGGAAAAGCAGTGATTTTTCTTTGCTTTCTTTCATAGCTCATCTTATTGCTAAGCTCCTGTGTCACAAATGGGGGGAGGGGCTGGGAGGGACTTGAACTTGCCAATTAGTGGTCTTTTAGTCTTTCAGCTCTTGTTCTTTTTCTTTAATTAGGGGGCATGTTGTCAAATGGAAAACTAACATTCAATTAGGCTCTAGCAGAAGGGGAATAGTGTTGTCCTCATCTTGTGTTGTCCCTTTCTACTAACTCCTGCTGTTGTCCACGTGTGAGATGGCTCATTCACCCAGGTCTTTGGTTTGCAATCTCTGCCTTGGTCAAGCATTGCTTGGGGGATGGGGTGGTATATATAGCAGGGCATGATTGTCCTCCGTGTGAGCCCTGCACCTTTCTCAGTTCACTGAAAGTCTCACTTCCTGGGCCCTTCACCTAATCTCTCTGTGGAGCTCTGTTCATTTAAGAGACAGCTCAACTTACTGTCCAACCCTTATCTTTGGGTGCTCACTCCCTGGACTCCGTGGTTCTTTCACCTTATGATGTAGCCAACACTTGGCAGACATGTTGGGACTGATTCTCAGGTTCCTTCTGTGACCCTGGGGGCTTACAGGAACTTCAAGGACTCTCAGGTGCAGGGGGAGACACAGGCATGCTATTTAGGGTAATGCCTCCCCAACACATGCCTTTGCTATTGCCATTTCTCCTCCTCTGTTAAGAGACCTAGTTAACCAATTCTGTCCTCATCCGAGACAATATTTCCTTTCTTCTTTTCTTCTTTCCTGGCTCCTGGACCAAAAGGGAATTTCCCTTCTTACATTCTAAATTTTCAGTACTGATGGGAAAAAAAAACCCTGCCTTATGATTATCTATTCTCTGCTTAGGATATCTACAGGGAAACATTTAGAATTCAGAAATTGTTTTACTTCTTGAAAAATGAGAAAGAGAAAAAAACCTTGGGATTATCCCTTACTTATTACTATGTATTTATGGTGTGCACAAAACTCTGTTTTTTTAGAATATTAAAATTGAGAAATGTTCATAAAAGATGGACAACCCATGTTTTCCTTTCTCATTGTAAATGTATAGAAATAATGCTGACCTTCCCTGAGAGTTCGGTTGCCACAATCAAAAGAGGAGGAAAATGGCTTGCCAGAATATGCAAAAATGAAACAAAGCAAAACAAACAACAAATTGGGGGTGGTGGCCCATGTCTGTAATCCCAGTGATTCAGGAGGCTGAGGCAGAAGGATCACAAGTTCAAAGCCAGCCTCAGCACATTATTGAGGCCCTAAGCAACTTTATGAAACCCTAACTCAAAATAAAAAATAAACAGGGCTGGGGATATAACTCAGTGGCTTAGCACCCCCAGAGTCAATCCCTGATTACAGCCCGCCCTCCCCCCCAAAAAAAAAGAAAAAGCAGAAAAAGAAAACCACAGTTAATAATTAACTTCACCACAACCAGAACAGATAAATATCACATAGATTTATCCTGTCCAATATGGTAACTATAGCTACTTGGGTCTATTAAACACTGATTTGAATGGAAATGTGTTATATTCATAAAATATTTTGGATTTTTGAATATATATACAAATCTTAAAGATGCACAATATTTCATTAATAGTTCTTAATATTGATTGCATGTTGGAATGATAGTATTTTAAACATATTAGACTAATATATTATGAAAACGAATTCACTTATTTCTTTTTACTTTTTAATGTGGTTACTAGAAAAATTTAAATGACACATTAGGACAGTACCAACCTAGAACTTTTCACTGTGCAGCTCAGCCTTATCGAATGTCCCACAAAACAACATCGATTTAGCAGAATGTATTTTATATGTCACACGTTAAATAATTTTTTACCCTTAATCAAGGATATCTTATTATACTTTCATTATTTGAACTCAGAAAAATTTTATTCAGTTATTTAAACATAAACCTAATATTAATTTAGCATCTATTGTGGGTCAAATATGGTTCTAAGTTCTAAAGATTCATGAAGCATTAGCATAAAGTTCCTGTCTCCATGATCTATAGGGAAAAACAAAAATAAATTAGCAGCTTATGAAATAATCCTGTCTATGAAAAAGGCTATATAGAAAATGAAGTTGGTCAGGGGTACAAAGAATGATTGGATAGTGAGACTACAGTCTTTATGAAAGGACAGTGTGAGGAGACAGCATGTGGGCAGGATGACTCACAAGCAGAGAGAAGTGAGCCCTCGGATGCTCTGTGGAAGGAAACAGTGTGGCAAAGCCCTTTCTGCATTCAGGACACCGTGATTGGGTCTGTAGGAATACAGAGAAGAACCTTCAGGCTCTGTATTCTTGTAGTATATAAATAATAGGAGACTCAGTGTGAGGAATGTCACAGGAACAGCACACATTCAAAGCTTTGCATTTGTGAACTGAGTTCTAGAAGTAAGAGGTAAATTAAGTGCAAACACAAGAATTCATCATGATAAAAGGCATAATAATATTGCTTAGAGGAAAGGAAGATGAAGATTTGGAGAGGAGTTGAAAAGTGGAAAATGAGTAAGACTAGGAGGGAAGAATCAAGAGATATGCATATAAGTGAGAGAGCGGGAGAGAAGTGTGTATGTGTGTGTGTGTGAACACACATAATGTGCCATAAATATGTATGTGTGTGTATATATATATACACAACACATATACATATATAATGCTATAGATATTTATATATACCTATATTACACATGTAATATATGTGTATGTGTATGTGTCTATGTATAGTATTATAACCAAAGACATATATCCACATCCACAACTCAGTCATAGTTTTGCTTTTCTAATCATTGATGTTTGGAGATTATTTCAAAAGAAGGAAATGTAATCAGTAAGAGCGATAAAAATTACCTTCAGACAAACTTCTTTGTAATTGATGAAGACACCAAATTTTTCAAAGACAAAATTACTTTTATTGTTGTCTCATGGAGCATTAAGCATTTATCCTCAGTAGGAAGCCTGAATGTCCCTTTAATGTGTCCCAAAATTTCTGTCTCTAATTTCATAAGGTTTGAGAAATTTGGCTCATGGTTCCAATGGAAAGTGCACCAAAGCATGTTACAAGTCCTTGGAAAAATTTCTTATCCAGTTTTCTAACAATGAATTTATTTATTTATTTTTATTGATTTTTTTTAGTTATACATGATAGTAGAATCTATTTTGATAAAATTATACATGCACAGATTCTATCTTATTGTAATTAGGACTCCATTCTTATGGACATACACGATGGTAGGATTCACTTAGGTTTTTTTCATATATCTACATAGGAAAATCATGTCAGATTCATTCCACTTTCTTTCTATTCCTATCCCCTTTCCTTCCCTTCACTTCTCTTTGTTTAATCTACTACACTTCTTTTCTCTCTCTACCCCTTTTATTGTGGCTCAGCTTCCACATATCAACAAAAACATTTGACCTTTGGTTTTTTTGGGATTGGCTTATTTCACTTAGCATGATAGTCTCCAGATACATCCATTTATTAACATAAAGTCATTATTCTTTATGGCTGAGTAATATTCCATTGTGTGTGTGTGCATGTGTATGTATGTATGTGTATATATATCTCACAATTTCTTTATCCATTCATCTGTTGAAAGGCACCTAGATTAGCTCCACAGCTTAGCTATTGTGAATGTGCTGCTATAAACATCAATGTGGTTGTGTCACTGTAGCATGCTGATTTTAAATCCTTTAGATATATGTAAAGGAATGGGATGACGAAGTCAAATGGTTGCTTCATTCCTAGTTATCTGAGGCATCTTCATCCTGCTTTCCAGATTCTAACCTGAATTTAACTGGAAGAATTAAAAAAAAATAAGAACACTAAAAAAATGATTGAAATTGACCAAGTAAAAGAAAAACCAAAGCATTTAGGGTCTTGACTCTGGATATTTCAAGTGTTGACTGGATTTTGATGTGAGGATGAGACAGAGATAAAACCCCCATGGTATCCCCTGCCTTCCTTCCTGCATACTTACCCTAATTAAGTGCAGGATTTCACATGAGTTTTTCCTTTGTGGTAACTATTTGGAATTGCATTGATAAGAATACTGATTTTTAAACAGACAAGTGTTTTAGAAACATGTATAATCTCAAACTAGGTTGTTTCTTTAGGGATTATCTAGACATAAAGTAAATTTTTGAAAGTAGGATGCATTTTAAAAGTTGTGATTTCCAGAAATGACATTCAAGTTCATGTTCCTTTCCCCAAAATATTTGATCTGATGAGAGGCATAGCATCAGTCAGAATCATGGTGCTTAAATTAGGAAAATAAGACCAAGACCACAAATTCAGCAATTGAGAAATGACTGAATTAGAGTTTTTCTTTGAGGTTGTTAATAATTTGAGGAGAATACTATATAAATTATGAGTATGAATTATAGGGTTTAAGATAATTATGAATGGCTCTGCATGGATTAATGAGTGTTTTTAAAACAATGTTAATGATTTCATATTTCAATTAGTTTCTGAAAAACTATTCCTTTATGTTCTTCTTTTGTGGCAATGTATTTGCACATTAATTGGGGTTTTCCAAAACAAATCCTTTTAACTCAAAAGAATAACTTCAAATCTGTAAATTCAAGCTCATTGGCAAGTTAGTGTGGAAAATATTTTGTGGTGTATGTGACTCCGTTACTTTTCAAATAAAAAGTATTAAATAAGGACATTTAGTTTATTTACTGCAATTAAACCTGACTGGTATTGTTTGGTTTTTGTGAAGGGAAAAAAAATACCCAGCAAGTAAACCAGGCCCTGGTTTAGCTAAGTTACATCATTATTTCTGTTCTTTGATATATTTCTTGAAGAAATATTTCTTGAAGAAGAGGTAAGCAGTATAGTTGAGTCTGCTTTCTGGATAGCTAATACTTTTTTTTCAATCTGCATGTTTGGAACTATGTTGATCCTTAAAGTTATGATTACTGGCCTTTAGTTTGTTTTTAAATCTCTTCAGGAATATTTTGTATATTTTGTCCCCTGAACTAGTTTATCATTTTTATTTTTGGTACCACCAATTGAGTCCAGGAGTTCTTAACTGCTGAGCCACATCCCCAGCCCATTTTTATTTATTTATTTATTTTTATTTTGAGACAGAATCTCATTAAGTTGCTTAGGACTTTGCTAAGTTGCTGAGGCTGGCCTTGAACTTATGATCCTCCTGCCTTGGCCTCTAGAGTTGCTAGAATTACAGGCTTGTGCCACTGCACCCTAAGAATGAAACTTGTTGTCACAGTGGTACACACCTATGATCCCAGCAACTCCAGAGGCTGAGGTAGGAGGAAAGCAAGTTCAAGGCCAGCCTGGGCAAATTTAGTGAGACCTTGTCTCAAAATGAAAAATAGAAAAGGTTAGGGATGTGGCTTGGTGGCAGATCAACCCTTGGTTTCAACCCCAGTATTGCCAATACCATGGAAAAAAAAAATGAAACTTATATGCTAACCATCCCCTTCAGTCTCTAATTTTTAACACACACATTGCCATGCAGTATATGCTAGTAGACCTATAGTGGATTTATTATAATGACGAGTTACTAACCAGTAAACCTGATGCATTCCTGGATGTTTCAAACTCTCAAATTCTGGATTGTTTTTTCTTCTTCTTGTTATCAATTTGTGACTCTCCTGAATTTCAGACAAATGACATGTCAAAACTATAAGTCAAGAAGAAAATATGATAATATCCCATTTCCAGGCAGGGAGCGTGGGGCTTGTAAAAATTATCAAGCCTCTTCTGGTCCAGATTTCTGCCATGGAAGTAGAGTCTTGTATAGATCAGTTAAATGAATGCAGGTTGGGCTGAGGAGAGATACGATGTTTTTTGTTTTTGTTTTTGTTTTTTTTTTTAAGAGAGAGAGAGGAGAGAGAGAGAGAGAGAGAGAGAGAGAGAGAGAATGATTTTTTAATATTTATTTTTTAGTTCTCGGCGGACACAACATCTTTGTTGGTATGTGGTGCTGAGGATCGAACCCGGGTCGCACGCATGGCAGGCAAGCGCGCTACCACTTGAGCCACATCCCCAGCCCCACGATGTTTCTTCTTGCTAGTTATGTTCTAAAGTAGCACAGGGTGTGCCTGTAATAGACGTGCATCAGATATTTGTTGAGTGAACTCAGATCTTCAAACTTGAGTTAACTATTCCTGTACGAACTAGCATTGGGCCAATTGGGTAGAGGTCAGGGCAGTAGAGGATTTTGTTCGTTTAATCCCTAGGGGGTCAAGTCTCAGATCCTTCTGTCTAGTCTGACAGACTGGTAGGAAGTGCTTGTGTTCTTAGGATGACTTTCAGTTAAGCAACTTTGACCTGATGCTTCCATTATTCTCTGTTAAGATGAGTGTGGAGAGTGAAATGATTGCTCTGATATTTCCTCTTGCTCTCAGCTGCCACTGCAGTGCTGCAGCATTTTTTGCCATTGAGCTGATATAAATGGTTCAACAGGCAGAGGATCGCTTGGGAATCCCACTCCCAACAGCACCAGGAACCACAGTCACCAAGACATATGGGAAGGATGAATAACTCTTATCATGGTTTAACACTGTGCTTTTGTCCTCTCACAAGGATTCGATTTATATCAGCTTCAGGGCATGCACTTGAGCAAGGCAGTTCAGGACTAGATCTCAGCCTTTATATGATTTGACCCAAACAAAATGGAACAAAACAGAAAATCATCAATCATGAGATTAAAAAAAAAAAATAGGAACAGACATAGTCAGTTGTTCCTGATTTTCAATACCCTCCTATCTTAAGATAGAAAATATTTTTACTTTAAAACATTGAAGAAGGAACTCCATATTTTATTAAAGTTTGCTCCCATATGGCAAAATGATAACATGGATTTGCAAAATGTATTTTGAATCTAGCAAATTTCATCTTAGTACATTTAAAAAACAAAGAAAAAAAAGGAAAAATAAAAAGAGAAAGAAAAGAAGCAGCACTCTAATCCATGTTCTCTTCAGGGAGAATATTATGTACCTACAAATCTCCAGGAATATGCAACTAATAGGTTTGTTCATAAAGCTGAGACTCAGTTACCCCTCCCTTTTTGTGGTCTCTTTAGCATTTGACATCAATGTTAGATTTCGATTGTGAGACCATGAATTGAGACTTTGTAAGTGACAGCTTGACCATTTAGTTTCTTGTTTCACTCTACCCTGATATACATTTGAATTTTATTCTCTTTTTCTTCTTTTTTCTTTCCCTGTGGTTCCTCCAGAATGTTAAAGATTATTTTGAATGTAGCTTGAGTAAATCCTACAGTTCTTCCAGTAACACACTTGGGATCGACCTCTGGAGAGGGAGAAGGTGTTGCTCAGGAAACTTACAGTTACCACCATTGTCCCAAAGACAGAGTGAACGGGCCAGGACCCCCGAGGGAGATGGCATTTCCAGGCCGACCACGCTACCGTTGATGACACTTCCAAGCATTGCTATAACAACTGTAAGCCAGGAGTGGTGAGTAGCCTTAGGTATTTTGAATACCATCCCAGATGGTGCATGTTAAATGTCAATTCTGAATTTTATTTTCCACTTACTCTAAATACAGTTTCATGTTATTAAAATGTTAGTTATCTGTGGAACAACTAAGACTATTGACATTTTGAGAGTTTGTTTCCTTTTGAGTATCAAGAGGAGGCATTTTAAACAGAAGTGATATTTTCTACTTCCTAAGATGGGAAGGATCATATTTTATATGGAACCCGCTGGGGAGGGAGTGAGATGCATTCACATTAATGTCAAAGGAAAGAAAAATGCTGTGCTCTGAGTTTTTTTCAAAAAGTACTGTTCAGTGAGCATCAATACTTTTAGATTTAGAAGAAGAAAATTATATCAGTGTATTCTATGGGAGATTATATATATATATATATATATGATATGTGTATTTCCATTGCTATACTCCACACATATCCCTTACTTCTTTTTAAATATAATTCCACCTAGCAAACTGCAGTTATTACTGCTATAAAATAAAACACTTCTTTGTAAATCAAAAGAGAAATGGAAATCGTGCTGTGAGAGATGATCAGACTATTAACAGTCTATATTTGTGAAAGAGGCTATTTTTAACTAGTGTTAAAATGTTAATCAAGAACATAAACTCTTATAACGATGGTTAAAATGTGACTACTTTTAACTTGATTTACAAATATTTAACTTAATTTACAAATATTTCCCAAGAATGGCTTGCTTTTATAATATAGCAATTTATCACTAAAACAAAAAAAAATAATTTCTCGATGATGTCTGTAACTTTAAATTATAATGTGGTACTTTCAAAATCACTCTTGGTTTAGATGATTTATTATAAAGGAGAGGGACTAAACATTTAATTATTCACAAATTCATTCTGTAAGTCCTGACAATGTGTGACTTTTATGGTGTATTGTGTACCTTGCTGCATGCTGAGTTCTACAGTGCTCATGTGTGGCCCCATGTGTGCTCTTTGAATGCCACAGGACCTCCCTTAGTCCGTGTTTATTTATTATACCAAGAAATAGATCACTGAAACTCCAGACACCACAGTTACCAGCGTGAAAGAGTTCATCAGACAATCGGAGAAGCATGCTAAGCTACTGCAGGGAAAGTGGGTTACAACTTTGAGAAGTGCTGCCTTCTATCTTCTGCTTGACTGAATTAATATTAAAACAGTAAGAGCTCAACAACTAAAGTGGGCATATTGCTCCCATACAGCTTACTTAGGCAAATAGCTCACATGATGAATCATGGTCATGCTGTGCATAATTGTGAATTTGGAGTCTTAAAGGCTTCCAGATTTATTTTTCAGCAAGTTGGCACTGGTACAGTTTTACCAATTATTAAAATATTAAAATACTGCTTCCATACCAGTTGATGAAGATATGCTTGCCTTGGCTCTTTGATTGCACCTGCCACAGAGACTCTTCCCCCAAAGCCCCTAGAGTTCCCCGTAATCCAACAATAACGAGGTGATTACCAACAAGTGGAAGTTTATTTTGGTGAGTGTTGGTGCTATAGCAGCAGTTCTTAGGTATCGTGAATACCATCCCAGATGAAGTATACCTTTTAAAGTTTGAGTTGATTTAACTCAAGGGCATTTTAGGAGTTGTGGAATTGTCTCTTAGAAATATCAAATCTAGACCTTGACGTTTGGGGCATGCTTGTTTACTTTTCTAAGTGGAATGTTTTTATTTGTACAAAGAGGATGACAATGATCACATTTTATGGTATGGAAAGGATTAAATAATCTAATTATTTTAGTAAAAAACATATATTAGGTAACCAGCACAGATTACTTTCCCTCTTCTTGATTCAGTACTCAATAAAGCCTTTCAAAAATACTGATACCCCATTCTCAGGTATCAGTAGTTTCATGCTGGATGTTAGTAGTTTACGGCAAAATGGAGGAGTTAGCCATTGTCCAGAGAGTTTATATTGTATAATAAGCTACCATCATGTTTGTAATTCATTTGAAACATGTCTGTTTTATTTTAATCAACTATATATTTGTGAAAGCGTGACAGTGTCCAGTCATTAGGTCTAAATTCACTTTAAAACTAAGAGCTTTGCTATACCTCCCCTGAAAATGCTTCTATTAGAGTCTTGGTGGTTGGAGACAGCCAGAATGGCTGGCAGGGAATCTGATTCAAGATCATCTAGTGAGAAGTGAGTAGGGTTCCAGCTATCATAGCTGCCATCAACTTGGTGTATGATTATGGAGGAGAGGATGACAGCCTAGGGCCAGCGTGAGAAAGAATTACACTAACCTCTCAGAGCCCTGAGAATATGGGACCAGTCCCTACATCTAGACCAGAAGTCAGCAAATGTTTCCTGTAAAGTGATAAACAGCAAATATTTTCAGTTTTGTGAACTTTAAGTTCTGTGATGTTGATTCAACACTGCTCTTGCATTGTGAAAGTAGCTATAGGTAACGTATAAATGAGTAAGTAGCTGTGTTCCAATAAAACTTTGTTTAAAAAAAAATTGGCTTTTGGGTTGATTTTGGTTCTTCGTTCGGATTTTTTTTGCCCCGGTTCTAGACTACTAAAGATACTGAGAACATGACTCCAATTTTGTAATTGCTTTGATAGTTACCAAGGGCAGAGACTGACCTGGAGATCCTAGAGGGTGTGCCAAATTAGTCATCAGTATGGGATTTTGTGCACTAGGTCAAGCCACCAAAGCCAGCGAAAAGAATTAGATTGAGTACAAATGAAAAATATTCCCTTATTGTACATAAAGTTAAATATAAAACATTACCATAAACATAATGCTTCCTCAGGAGATCATATTAATGATGGGAGCGGGCCATCACTGCAGGTGAAATGCCTGGAATATAAGGATAGCACTTTAACTGATCACAAGAGCAAGAAAGAGTTAGAAATGAGCTGAGTCCAGTTTTATGGGGTAATTTCTGTCCTGTTTCCTTGTTTCTTCTCCCTCAATGACTCCAGTGAACCAACAACAGGGGTGATGATACCTACTTTTCAGCTTTGTCATGATAAATAAACGTTTGTGGTGAGGGTAGCACAGTAACTGGTGACCAAGGCTATTTTGTTGTTGTTATCATTGTCATATTACTGTTATATTCAGATGGAATAGCTAGAGTTATGTATTTTCCATTATTGGTGGTTCTTAAGGAACTTAACCACCTGGGTTCTTGAAATCAATTTGGAAATCAGGTGAGAGAGGAAGTTAGATATGAGGACAAGTTGTTACCTTTATTGCCGATCAAGTTGACATGGGAATATGTAATTTATATCTATGGGCAAGTAGTTTCCTAACATTGAACACCACAATTACACTGACCTACTAGTTGGGAATAGAGGGTTCCTGGTCAGAGCAGGCACCCCTCCACCCTCTACACAGACACACACACTCACACACACTCACTCACACACACACACACACAGAAAACCTAGCCTATAAAACTTGCAACATGAAGGATCTGTAGAAATCCTGATCATGTGAGAAAGTCAGCTGGGTTGTGTATGGCCACTTTCTCCTTTTGGAAGCATCAACAAGAATTAAAAATTCCTCCTCTATGGGGAAGAATGAGGAAAGAAGAATAAAGAGGCTAGAAATATTAGGCTGGTGGCATTCCCAAACCTTGAGAGGGACATCCAAAGCTAGTAGGAATGTTCTTTCTTAACCTTACCCAATTGATTTTGTTCAATCTTTTCACCTTAAGTCTAATGCAACAGGAGGGGGTACAGCAGTTCTTTTTTTTTTTTTTTGGTACCAGGGATTGAATTTAGGGTACTTGACCACTGAGCCGCATCCCCAGCCCTATTTTTATATTTTATGTGGAGACAGGGTCTCACTGAGTTGCTTACGGCCTCCCTAAATTGCTGAGGCTGTCTTTGAACCTGTGATCCTCCTGCCTCTGGCTCCCTAGCAGCTGGGATTACAGGTATGGGCCACCACACTGGGGACAGCAGTTCTGTAGGGGGATGTCAGCAATATACCCAGGCAATCTTACAAAATCTTTGTGTAGCTGTTCTGACAAAACTACCCGCAGGAAAACCTGAAATCAAAGTTTCTTGTCCTACTTTGTAAGTTAAAGTCCAACGAAATTAAAGCCTCAAATTCATCCTCCCTATCTTCGTAAGTCTCTTACTTTGTCAGTGGGCTCATAAGGCTTGGTGTGAAGTGGGGTTTTCTCTCCAGCCGCAGCCTTAGCATCATCAGAGTGAAGGCTCTAGTTCCTTCAGTCACACAGAAGTCATGTTAGTGCAATGCCAGGTCTCTTGACAGGCTTCACTTTTTAAATGATTTAAGGAATTTATTGATCAGCAAATTTACCAAAGCAACCTCCCATAACTGAACATAGGAAATAAGTCAACTCTGAACCTTGAAAGTCTACAGTTAATCTATCACTTTAACCTTTCTCCATGAGGATCTCAGAACACTCAAACTCCTTCTAGTTCTTCCCTGCTTACACTTTTCCTGTATGTTAATTATTTCTATACTTACCCATAGAACATTAGCATATATTTCGCATTCAGTTTTTATTAGGATTTTCCCAGATACTTACAGGTATCTTTGTTTTAAATTCTTTCTAAGGATCATATGAAAAGCACAAGACCTAGAATAGGCAACATAATAGGAAGAAAAAGAAGGAAGAGGAGAGGGAGAATAAAGAAGAGGAGACATAGCGGGGGAGGGGAGGAGACTGACAACACAAGTTGGAGGACTCAGGTACCTAATTTCAAGACTTCCCCTAAAAGTATTGTTTTAGTCAGCTTTTTTCTCTGCTGTGACCAAAAGACCTGGCAAGAACAATTTTGGAGGAGGAAGAATTTACTTGGGGGTTCATGGTTTCAGAGGTCCCAGTCCAAAGACAGATGGCCCCATTGCTCTGGGCTCGAGGTGAGGCTGGACACCATGGTGGAAGAATGTGGTGGAGAAAAGCAGCTCAGGACATGGTACTAATAAGCAGAGAGAGACTGCTCTGCTCAACAAGGATGAAATATAAC